TGTTACTACAGGGGAAAAATGATACATCAGCTTTTTTTTGCTGTGGTCTTCTCTGGGAATAGAAAGTTTATAAACTTTTCACTAAAAAAAAAACTGAGAAAAAACGATGTCTTTGCGTAGACTCCAAAGTTAACCCGAAGTTCTACATCTGCAACGCATAAATACACAGACAAATTAACATCAGAATAGATTAATGGTTTTTGATGATAAATAAATCACCTTTGACCCTTCCCTCTTTAGGAGGAGTTCATATTTTGGCCCAGAAGGTTTAACCAACAGACAAAACCACTAGTAAAATACTACTAATTTGCCTTAGGTGCTCGACGAACACAAGTTTTTTTGTGCAGAAGTAACTCTTTCTACTTGCCACCTCAGCACTGGAAAGAGCGCCACGTCGCAGTTGCTAACTCTTTCTGCTTGCCATGTCAGCACCTTTACAATTTTAGCTGTTTCATCGGCCCTCTTCGTCTTCTCCGTGTCGTGGTCAAGTGTGTAAGTTTTTTAACAGCACATGCTCGCATCTCAATTGTTCATCTCGATATCTTCCATCTCTCACTCCCTCTGATGCCAATCGCGATTTCTTTTCCTCTTCTGTTTCTCTGTAGCTTTCCATCTTCAATCTTCCTAAGAATTTCTTAGGTAAACGCCACTTGTAGACTAAAAACGGACTTTATTCATCTCTGTGCTCAGTTTCATCGAGAATATAAGCTCTTGAAAAAGTTAGGTCTGGACACGAATTCCAAGGTTGATACTTGCTGATTCGCCTTTGATTTGATGAGATTGAGGATTGCGAAGGTTTTATATATGTCTCGCCTCCGCCGTGTCGACAAAGGTCGATTCCTGGCCAAACGGATCTCAGTGGCCCAATTTTGTACATCTTCGTCGGCTTTGGAACTGAATCTTCCCCTCAAGGAACAAGAAAGGTGGTCGTGCCTGCTGGACATTCGATCCCCACTCATACGGGAGTCGAGCAAAAGGTTTTTTTTTTTTTCACAAGCGTAAGGATTAGATTGTTAAAGCGTTCCGCTGTTGTAGAAATCCATATCACAGGTAGTTTTAAATCAAATGTTGGTGAAGTACCAAAATTTTGTATTAGTCTAAATTATTGTCTGGTAAAACTATGTAAAAAAAAAACTAGGTAAATTTCAGCGACAATGACTAAAGTGATAAAAGAGATGTTCGTGTTCATAAATTAAGAAGAATCTGATCTTTAGTAAATTCGGTGAGACTGAATCCGTGAGGATACGCTCGGCCCAACAAGAGCACTCGAAATAATACTTTTATTTTGCTTTCGTTACTGAAGAAGGTTGCAGTCACCATTTCTATCACCAGATCTTTGGAGAAATTCAAAACTCCCGCACTTAACTTCACGATTCTCTAGGTAATTAACTTTGGCAGCAATCAATTCCTTTGATTATATATATGCCTCACTAAACTTTTCTGTTGTGGACTATATTGAGCTGGAAAAAAGACTATTAGTGTGACAGGAGGAGATTACAAGACCCTTATGTTCGTGCAAATTAGTCCGAACGAGAACGACCTAAGCGAGACACTTACCTCACTCAATTTTGCTAGAAGACTAAAAGGGATAGAGTTATATCTGCAAAGAAGAAGCTAGACAATACTGAACTCTTGATATACACCAAATGGAAACTACATGTCCACATATGTGTATATTGTTCTGAGCTGTGTTAACTCTTTATTTGGTTGAGAAATGGAAGCAATATATGAAAATGGAGGAATTCGGTTAGAAGCAAAGATTAAGGAACGAGACACTAAGAACAAAACCCGTCATGACAAGGTAAACAAATACTCATCATAACCACAAGACACAACATTGGGTTAGATCATTTTCATTGTGCTAAAATCAATCAGATAGTACCTTCGTGGCATATTTTGGAACACTCCTGCCGGAAAAAAGACCTCGGAAGAGCCTTGCTGGGAAAGATGTTTCAATTGAAGGCTTGATGGATGGACCTTTCACACATGCAGAATTAAGAGTTACAGTTTCTCTCCTGTTTCACACACGTCGTCAAAGATACATTTGTGTTCAGCCTCTAAAGTTAGTAAACATGGTGTGTATATGTTCACAAGCTCGCAAGTAATCTCTCTTAATTCACAACTTGCGAAAGATAATAACCGATTTTGTTTGTGTCATTAGTTCGATTAATAATAATTTTGTTTGTTGTAAATTTTTGCTTACAGTAATCAAAGACATAATTTTGTTGCCGCTCACAACACAATGACAATATCAAACAAGTATTGAATACCAAAAAGCAAGTAGGCTCATGATTACCGTAAAGCAGCTTATCGGAGAAGATAAATATAAACTTTCGTCACATATACTATACTAGGATATTGGCCCGCACGCATGTACCGATAATTCTAAAAATATAATTATCTAGATACAATATCTAAATCCGTTTTAAATATTTTAATTTTTGTAGTATATGAAACTCAAAATCAACATTTTGAATTATAAGACTTTAAAATTAAGTAGTAAAATATGATCTAAAAGTAAACAAAGGTTCATTATATTTTGAGACAGACTTAAAAAATAATAATTAAATTTGAAAAAGACAAAAATTATTTTTCCATGATCAGGCTTTGTAAAACTTGACTCGTTATGTTAGATGGTCAAATGGGTCAAACCCGTGGATAACTGTTTACCTTTATCGAATTTGCGGATCATGCTGCAAATTTTATCTTCTCTATCTTTTTTTTTGGAACAAATGTTTTTCATTTTCTTTGTCTTCCTATATTATTCCTCAATTTAAAGCATTATTTCTTCAAGGATTCCGTCATTGTTGGTCTCGATCTACTCATATGTACGGTTTTTCTACTTATAATTTTATCAAGTAGACTCTACAAATAATTGCTAGACCATCTCCACTTAAGCATCAAGTGCTTCAATTAACCCTATTGCAAGACATGTTTCGGCGAAGATTGGATATAAAACTCTGTTTACTGTCCTGAAATCTTAGAAACATACTGGTCTTCTCTGAACATTTGGCAACATTTTAAGGTAGAAAAGCTCATTATATTCTTCTGAGACTTCTGGAAGGCTGATATCGTAGTGAACATTTATTTTTTATGTTGCGAGGGAGCCACTTCTTAATTTTTTGATGTCAAACCCATTTGTTTGGAAATTCAGTGTAGCGATAAAATTTTGCTTCATTACACTCACAATTGGAGTCTATACAGCTTTCAAATTTTATTTTTGCCATACTCGATTTCGATAAATGAATTGGTAGAATTGTCATGCCCGCACTTTGAGTTAGTGTTTGATTTGTTTAATACTCATGTGTGTTATGATGTTTTTTTTATATAAGGATCCGAGTATTTAAAATTTTCATTAGTTATTTGGGATGAACGTGATTTTAGATGGATATTTTTGGTTTATATTAAATGGACATTTAACTTTTCAAATAATGTAGAGGATAATGATTTTGGTTTTTCATTAGATGCACATTGATTTTTTAGGAAATTCAACATTTGTTGCGAAAAATAATGTAGAGAATTATTAAATTGAAATCTTAGATTTATATTTGTTATTATTTTTAAACTAAATTAATATTTTTAATTTTTCAATGTTCTACCGAATATCACAATAATATCTTATTTTGTTATTATAATTTTGCCAACTAAAGTATGTAAAAATATATGTGCATGTATTTCATATGAATATAGTATTATAATATATATATATGGAAAGTCATAGTGGTTCACGACACAGCTATAGTAAATTTAATAGGTATATAATATAGTATTATCCATAGTATTATAATATATATATATATATATGTGTGTATTAAAATCATCATGTTAGCCCAAAATTCATCTACTATTACCCATATAGATGAATAATAATATCAGACCATTCGTAATGTATCTGGCGAATCATTGCGGTCTAAGACCATCTCCAATGTACATTGTTATTTTCTCACTTAAAATAGAGATGAAAATCTTTCCAATGTGTTCTTCTATTTTTTCCTATAAAAATAATAATATTAGAATATTATTTTTCTAATTTATTAGTAACACATTTTGTTTCTAAAGTTCATAAATTAACTTTATTTATTTTATTTTTTACAAAAACATTCATATAATTATAATAATATTAACATCACATTACATCATATAAAACATAATATATTTTAATTTATAAAATTGTCTAGGACTAAATTTGAAATGAAAATGTTCTTCATTAATTATATTATATGTTTTCAGAATTTCTATTATATATTTAGTCATATTATACATTAGATAGATGATTGTTCACTAAATATATAAAAATAAGTTATATAAACAATTAATTAAATTTCTATATTTGTATGTAAATAAAAATAAAAAGATTTAAAAGTTAAAAACCTAATTTATAAATATAAAAGTTAATCTCTATTATAGAGGAAGAAGTAGAGTTCTTCCAAATATAGAGGAAAAAATAGCATTCTCTATTTTTAAAGGAAAAAATAGAGGTGGATTGGAGAGAATTTTTCTCCAAACTCTATTTTTTCTTTTAAAGTAGAAATAGATTGGAGATGTTCTACACTAAATTAGTAAATTTTGTCAATCAAATTGACAAATCAAATTAAAACAAATCAGTAATTTTCATTAAACTACATTCTCAATTAATAGGTAGAGGATATGAGCTTATGATTGTTTTTGTTATGACAAGTCAGAAATAAATATACATCAGATGATAAATGTAAGATTTGTGGTAATTCATAAATGTGATATTGCAAAGATAATTAATACCGGTTGATATATTACAGTATCTTGTTCTTTGATTGTTACTCTGGATTGGAATTCAATTTTTTTCAAAACTTCATACTGTATATATTTATATGACCTCTTACGATTGGTTTGGCATATAAGCCCATTAAGTTTGTTACAAAATGCCCAAATAGCCCAAAACCTCCTCTAAGTCTCCGTCGTTGCCTCTCCTCCTCCATCGACCATCATCTCCCTCAGTGATACGACACACACACACAGCACTCATGGCGCCCAGAATTCTGCTATGCGGCGATCCTCTTGGACGTCTCAGTCAGCTCTTCAAGCGTGTTCAATCGGTCTTTCTCTCTCTCTCTCTCTCCCAGTATCTATCTCATTCTGATTCTGTATCTCCTAGGTTTTTAATCCAAGTCCAATTTCTGCAGGTTAGCAAATCGGCAGGTCCATTTGACGCTCTTCTTTGCGTCGGCCAGTTTTTCCCCGATTCTCCGGAGCTTCTAGACGAGTTTTTGGATTACATCGAAGGCCGAGCTCAGGTCCCGATCCCTACTTACTTCACCGGCGACTACGGCGTCGCCGCCCCCAAAATCCTATCGGCGACATCGAGGAAAGCTGAGAATCAAGGGTTTAAGATGGACGGGCTCGAGGTTTCCAACAATTTGTTTTGGTTAAGAGGAAGTGGGAAGTTCTCTCTTCAAGGTAAAGGTTTTTTTTGATATTTCAATCTTTTCGATTTTTGAAGCAAAAATCTTTTGTTTCGTTGATATTAATCATATGATTTGCTTCTTGTTTAGGTCTGTCTGTTGTTTACTTATCTGGTAGGCAATCATCTGATAGCCAGTTTGGGAAATACAGTCAAGATGACGTTGATGCTCTTCGTGCACTCGCTGAAGAATCTGGAGTGGTTGATCTATTCTTAACATATCCTTTTTGCATCACTTGATGAATCTTTGAAACTGTGATGTTGCATTCTCTGTGTTCAGGGCTTTCGTTGAAATGTGTTTAAGTACTTGTCGTCCTTAATGAATGTACACTAATGAATGGCCTGCGGGAGTCACGAAGAGAGCTGCGGAATCCGATATTCCTGCAGACGTTTCTGATTCCTCTTGTAGTGATTTCACAGTTTCTGAATTGGTAAAAGAAGTCAAACCTCGGTAAGTGGTGGTTTTTTCAGTTCTTATATTTGTCATTGCTGGGAATTAGTTCGGTAAGTGACGAACTTATTTGGTGTTTATGTTGTGTGTTTGTGGCAGCTATCACATTGCAGGTTCTATGGGGGTGTTTTATGCCCGTGAACCTTACCTAAACGCTGATTCAAATCATGTAACTCGCTTTCTTGGTCTTGCTCATGTTGGAAACAAAAACAAACAGGTGTGTTCTTCAATGATTCCTGTCACACGAGCTTGGTATCTCACTTAGATTTTGTTTTTTTCTTGCTTGGTCACTTGCGTCCTGGATTTTTCTGATTCAATTATCCATTGCTATCAATTGGTACTCTTAACTGTATGATGAAATATTTTGAATGCTTAATCTTTGCAATCGCAAGAACTTTGAACATTCTTTTACGCGCTTTCTGCGAGGTTTTTGTCTTGACCAGTGTTACTCCCTTTGTCCTCTGTGCAGAAGTTTCTTCATGCGCTCTCTCCTACACCAACGTCTATCATGTCACCGTCAGAGCTTGGTGCAAAGCCTCCAAACACTACACTGTGTCCTTATAATTTAAAAGAGGGAGCTACTGAGTCCAAGAAGAGGTCAATCGAAAGTGACTCTGACTCACAGTATTGGAGGTATGATGTCTCAAAGCGGCAAAAGAATGGATCTGAAGGGGAAAAGCTCTGTTTCAAATTTGTATGCTCAGGGTCCTGTCCTCGTGGGGAAAGTTGCCATTTCCAACACAACGCTGAAGCAAGAGAGCAGTGTCGCAGAGGTGTTTGTCTTGATCTTATTATCAAAGGTAAGTGTGAAAAGGGCCCAGAGTGCAGCTACAAGCATGAGTTTCAAGATGAAAATATACAGAGGAAGCCCAGATCTGAAAATGCTAACAGGTATATACTGATTTAGCTTCTGACCATTTTTTCTTGCAAAACAGATGCAATTTTGACTACAGGTTGAGAAAGTAATTGTTTTTTTCAAAAGCAGGTCGAGAGAATGCTGGTTTTGTCTATCAAGCCCTAGTGTTGAGTCACATTTGATCGTCAGTGTCGGGGAAAGTTTCTATTGTGCTCTACCCAAAGGTTCACTAGTCGACGACCACATATTGATAATCCCGATCGAACATTTGCCCAATACTCTGGTTTTATCGCCTGAAGGTGAATCAGAGCTCGGTAAATACAAAAATGGTCTGAGAAATTGTTATCAGAGTCAAGGAAATGATGCTGTCTTCTTTGAACTGGTCTCTAAACGTGTTTCTCATGCTAACCTCCAGGTAAGAAATGTTTATATTGCAAATCAGGTAGATTTTTTGAATTTTTAGTTGTTTACATCAGTTTGATTTTTTTTTTCTACTTTCTATAGGTTGTTCCTGTTCCATCATCCAGAGCTCGTCTTCTTCCTAATATCTTTAGTCTGGCGGCTGAAAAGCTGGGCTTTAAGCTTGTGACAAAAAAGTGTAAGCTGTTTCTCTTCTCTGTCTTATCGAATCAATGGACCTTATCTTTATAACTCAGATGATAGCTGCGTTTTTTCCTTTGCATTCTGAGTTACTTTTAGTACTAAATTATGTTACCTTCATTGCAGTTAGTGATAGTTCTGATGGCAGAAAATATCTACAGAAGGAATACGATGCAGCTTTGGGGCTCTTCTATGTGGAACTTCCTGATGGAACTGTGTTATCACACACCCTGGAAGAGAACGAAGTGTTCCCTGCACAATTTGGACGTGAGGTAAGCCATTTCGTGCATTACCACGCGACTGCTATAGTACATGCCTATAAGAAATTCCAACGATAACACAAGACTCAAAAGGCATGTAGTTTCTTTTTTCATTTCCATAGATCAGATCTCCCACTTGCTGTCAACCTTATGCTCGATGTTATACAGAGAGATCAATCAACAAAAGAACTTGCATGCTCTGACCAAAGTTTTTAAAGTTTTGGATTCAATTAGATTAAAAGAAAACATCCAATCCCATAGATTTTAAGAATGAGAATGTATTAATGTAGACTGGATTATCAGCTAAAATGACTTTGGACTTTACAGGTTCTAGCAGGGTTGCTAAAGATCCCAGACAGGGCCGACTGGAGAAACTGTAAGATTAGCCAAGAAGGAGAGGCAAAGCTGGCTGAAGAATTCAAGAAACAGTTTCAAGAATTTGACCCTTGTCAATAACCTCACTGATCAAAAGTTATGATTATATGTTATCTCGTGCGCATCAATCAAACGCAACTCAGTATTCGAGTGAACTCAGGTAATCCGCCGCTGTTACCAAATGTCTAAGGTCTTCCACCATCTTTGTATAATTATGCGTCCTGCTAAGCGCCTTTATGCTTAATATATTTCTCTAGGTGCGAAGCTGAATCATGCGATGCATCGTCATAGAAAGCTTCGTAGGTCTCTCCATCTTTAGAAACAGGTTAATTAACTGTGTTTTTTTTTTTTTTTGGCTAATTAAAAGCTTAACACTCTTTCATCTCTTTCCTTAGTATCTTCCTTGTTAATTTTACATTTTTTTCTTTTCTGGTAAACACTTTCTTTGACATATTATTGTTTTTTCAAGAAGAGAGTGATCACCACAAGAAGCATGTGCTTGGTCTGTTTTCACCTAAACTAGTAGTCCTTATTTATTTATCTTGTTGGTTGGTTAAAAAAAGTACTTGTGTTTTTTCTATACAGTAATCTCTATCATTTTTAGCCAAGATACTGTACAAAATTAAGCTTCTCCATAAGACATTAAACCAAAAACCAGTTATAGGTGGTAAACGTAGTTTCAGCAACAATCTTTAATCACTTTGGTGAAACCGTTTTCTTGTCGAACCAGTGAAAGTGAAGCTGGTTTTGTAGTGAATCAGATTCAACCTCTGCATCTGAAGGATGGTACCATAACACATGTGACAAGAGAGAGGCACGATCTCGTCATCTTTAACTTGAGTTTTCTTTTGTTGTTGCAGCTTTAGTAAAAGAGTAAAGGAAACAAAAGAAAAGCTTCATCAACTGGTAAAGACTCTTAAGTAACCAACCAAACCCTTCCTATAAAAGGCTTACAGATTCTGTCTAAAGCACATGGCTCATACTGTTGTTACCTTCTCATTCCTTCAATGTGAAAGTGAAATTTTGATGGTCCCATAATTAGGTCTCTATTATCTCTCTTTAAATGCATCAACCACCATCTTAATTCCCTAGTAATTTAGGTTGATTGCAGCTATTTTTTTTTTGTTTATTACTCGTATTTAGGCCTCTTTAAATGAATCAACTACCATTTTCATTTTCTTGTATAGGTTATTTGCAACTTTTTGTGTTTTTTTCCTTAATTTGAAAATTAATAGTAAAATGGTATTGGTACAGTACTACTACCTGGACTTAGTCGGATCCAGTTCAGAGTAGAATATTTATTTATTTCGGTGGGTATATAGTAATTAATTGTCACGAGACTCGACAAGGTTTTTCTGGACCATAATACGAAAATTCGGAAAAAGGTTTCATTTTGCATAAATATTAGTATAATAACAGGGAGGCTATATATAACTATAAAGTAGTAGTTAGCATTATTAGATATGTATTTTGATCGCTCTATTTCGACATTTATCTATGCTTTTTGACTATTCTATCAAAATCTTAATCGAATTAGTTATTATTATTAAGCGTGAGGATTTTGATTTTCATATTGATTTTTTTTTTGGTTCGGCTCAAAATGTTCATTCACCTAATTAAGTTGGACTCTTTTATAGAATATATTATTTGTTTAAACAGTAAAGAAACAAAGACTTGACGTCGTTTTCTACGATCACATCTTACAGTTAAACGACAAAAATCCAAACTCGAATCTGGTCGTCTGGATCGTATTGTCCCCACACAAGACACCAAAACTACGATCTGCAATTCTCTCCACTCCTTCTCGCAATACTACTATTCATCTGTTTTTATTTTAGTTGTGTGAATGAATCTCATGTTGTTTTGTCGGTGCATAGAAACGAAAATTTGTTTTTTTGCTTAAATAAATGTTTATATTATTATGATGAAGAATTTGGTTTTGTTTTATTAGACTTTAATTAGTTTTTGAGACTTTGTTCTTCATTTTTTTTTGGTGATTAATTCTTACTAAAGAGCTGGTTTCGTTTGGCTTTACTCTGGTCTCTGCTTAATGGATACATGCTTGCGATTAATATATTCACCCCCGTTTTGTGAAATGAAGATAAAAAATCAATACACAAAACAAAAAAGACTTCGTATGCAACTTTTTTCTTAAAATGTTTAAACAGTTTTATTCGTTTAACCAACGAACCATATAACTGCTTAATCCTTTTGTTCATCAAATTTCCAGCAAGTTTAATTCCATTGAAGTAATTGGAGCCATTAATTTGACTCTAGGGAGATGCATAGAGATACCTTGTCTATCAAAGTCGGTCTCTTTTTGGGTATAGGCAATTTTCAATATTAATATCTCAAGGTGCTTTGTGTCTTAAATTCATCCACTTGGGAAATAGTTATTAAAATAATATGTATGATCAGATCAGTTTACTATATACTTTTCGTTTTGGTCAACATGTGATCAATGTATTTGTGGACCTAATCTTTGACATATATGCATTTTAATTCTAACGATTGCACAACGGAATTATCAAAATGAGTCATCAATTTCAATAGTTTATATATATCTGCGTTTATATTTGAGGCAATATATATACAAGATGTTACGTCGGTGGCTCGGTGATATTGTTGTGCCTATCAGTTAAAGTGAATTGTTGCTATCGGCTTCACAACAAAGCAAACAAAGTAAGATATGAAAACGACGTTGTGCAGGGAATGAAAAATCAACAAACAAAGAATATACGTATCTATTACCCTGAAATCAAGAAGAATTGATTGTGTTATTCGGCTTTGAATTGAGGGAAACATATAGAGATATTGGATGTGACGTTATGGTTATGAATCTTATGATAGTAGTACTAGTAGAGAATGTCATACCTTAATATGAAAAACGTTTAATCGGTTTCACAAGCTAATCCAGACCAAAGTCTGTGATGGTTCGATTTACATGTTAAGTTTGTCTTCTTCATTGGATTCCTTTTGATTGACATTCAACAAATTTCAATCCCACTACTTATTTTCTTCGAGTTTGAGATTAATCATTATGAAATCTTAGACTTCATATGCACAATCATATACTAATACTACTAATAGATATGAACAAACATCATTTTTGAAGGTTAAGGCGAGGAGGGAAATGGAGAAAATTAAATAGACATTTAGCGTACTTTCAATAATATTTTAATTTTATTACAATCTTTTTAATAACTAACAATGAATTTAGCAGTTTTTCCAATGTTTGGTTATAATCACATTCAGGGAAAACTTCTATTGTTTGGGAGTCCTGTTCTTGATATAAAACAAACATATAAATGTTTCAAAAGTGACAAATAAGTATCCCAAAGGTGGGTTTAGCTGTATAAATCTCATTGACATGATATAACTTTTCCCTTTATCTTATTAATAAAACTCCAAAAAGGAAAATGGTGGTTGGTTAAGCAATCTTAAAGGTTAAAATGCGTGGACAAAATAACTATTCTTTCGATTATTGATTTTTTTTTGTCTGACTACAATTATAGATTTTAACTGACCCCATTTTAAAATGTACTAGTAAAAATATTGTGTAGTTACTAAATTTATTATGTCTGGGAAACGTTTCCTACAGATATTCTCAAACCAATAAATTTACCAAAGCAAAAACTTACATTATTATGTGTAGGGAATCTATTGCGTAATGAGTCGATTGACATTAATAAAGAATTTAAAATTAAATTCACTTCTTCAACCTAAAGGGAGAAAAAGGGCAATAAACAAATGGTTCAAAACCCACTAGGCTCTCTCAGACACACACTAGTTTCCTCCATTGACACTATCCCACTACCTTCAAAATCCCACCTTTTATGTCAAAATAAATCTCTTTCTCTCTCTTTCTCTCTGACCAATTGAGAGCAGAAACCAAACAACAGCAACAAAAAAAAAAAAACGTTTTTGTTCAAACATTGGAGATCAAAGATTAATTGCATCTCCTTTTTGATTTCTACCGTTCTCTTCCACCAAACTCGTTTCTGTTTTTTTTTTTTTTTTTTCAATTTTTTTTTTTTACGTGAGCATTAAAATCTCACAGAAAAATATCATTCCTTTGCTTCTTTCTCACTGTTACTTTCTTCTTCTTCTTCTTCTTCTCTCTCTCTCTCCTCTTCTTCTTGCGTTTTAAGTCATTTCTCTCCTTTTGCCACTTCGATTTTCTCTCAGCTTTAAACTTGGAGCTTAAGATTACCCATCGAATTCATCTTCCTCGTGATCATCGAGGAAGCTTATCTCTTCTATGGAATGGAGATTTCGATTTTCCTCCTAAGGATCTGCCTAGTTTCCTCGGTGTTAGTTGCTGGTTCTTCCTCAGGTAAGTTTCATTTTATCTGCCCTATAAAAAAGCAGCTGCTGTTTCATTGTTTGAATAAATTAGGGATTAGACCCAGATAGATCAATTTGCTAAATCTGCTATCTCTCTCGCTTTAATTATATGTTCAGTTAACAAATTTTAATTATGGGTTCCTCTTGGTTGTGTATTATCAACATTGAGCTTGTAATAACTCCACTAGTGAAAAATGTTGTTTTTGGAATAACCCAATTGGGGAAGTAAGAAGAAAAAAAACACTTCTTTTTTTGTTTCTCCGTTGATGAAAATGCGACTAATATTATTTCTGCGAGGAAAATTATATATTGTGGATATTTTTGGTTTCGTGTGTAAAGTAATTGAGTCAATATCCAACTACCAGCTTGTTGACGCCATCTTGTTACTTTCTCTAATGGATTGATTTCAAAGATCTTTATGATTTGTTAAATTGTTGACTCAGGATTGGATTTGCTATCTCCCTTATCATCACCACCGTCTCCATTACCGGAAACTTCAAAAGGGTTTGGTCAAGCACCGATTAGTCCACCTGAATCTCACAAATCCGGCAATGCTCCTCAACCGTCTCTTCCTCCTCCAGATGACGTGGCCTCTCCTCCGCCGTCAGATTCCGCCGGACGTAAACCACCGACCGGTGAGCCATTTGTCTCGGTTCCTAATGCTCCAGGTATAGAAATCAGCACTTGGATCGAAACGTTGATTCTCTCACGGACAATTAATCGAACACTTGGCAGGCACTACTCTTGAGAAGTAGAATTGTGTATTGAATTCAGTTTTGATTCATTCTTCAGCTCCAGCTACGTTACCCGTGAAGGATCTGCCCGTGAACTCACCCCCGGTTCGACCTATAATCACACCGGTTGCTTCACCACCTCAATTTGATTCACCAAAAGAGCCTCCTTTCTCAGGAGGAAAAGTAACTCCAGGTATGTCACAACTATGTTGTTTAGCATAAAATCTTGAATCTTTAACTTGCAATGTTCTCTAACTTTCATAAAGCTTGAATCTTTAGCTTGAAATGTTCACTCTGCTTTGCATAAATCCTGAACCTTTAGCTTGCATTGCTCTCTAATTCGCAGGCCCGGTCTCGTCCCCTGTTTCGAACATTCCTCCATTTCCATCAGTGGCTCTTCCTCCGCCTACACAGACCATTGTACCTCCTAGAAACGCTTCTAACAATCACAAGCCTCCTATCAAAAAGCCCATTGCTCCTGGTATATAGTACTACGTTTTGCTCGATCCTTACTCGATATATGTTTCAACTATTTCACATTCTATGCCATAAACTCACTTTGTGGCCTCTCTGAATCAGCTGCATCTCCACCAACAATATGGACTGACACTTCACCGCCGGTCCATCCCGTCATACCAAAGTTAACACCCTCTAGCTCACCTGGTATGCGTTTGAAGAATTACTTATGTCTGTATTTGTTTCCCTCGCATTGTTACGAAAATGACTCTGTTTCTCCTCTGCCCTCTCTCTCTCTCTATCTCAAATCGTGCAGTACGAAAAGGATCTCCGAGAAGAAACTCCCCAATTACCCACCCGGTTTTCCCCATTGAATCTCCTGCCATCTCACCAGGTTTGCTCACCTTTCGAATGTGTTTATCCGTTAAACAAACCCGTGTCCGAGTTTCAACATTTCCTCTTATTTTCTAGCTCATGCAGCGAATCCAGTGAAGCATCCACCGCCCAGAGGTAATGGAGATGATAGCAAAAGTCCGGTTCCTGCACCGTCAAATGAAACTGCTAAACCCTTGCCTGTCTTCCCACATAAAGGTTTGATTTTTTAAGGCATGAATCATATATAATCACGAGTTACTGTTATCAAGTAGACAAGAAGACTAAATTCATGTTATTATTATTACATTGCAGCTTCCCCTCCTTCGATAGCTCCCTCAGCCCCAAAATTCGATGGACACTCTCATCACACATCTCCTTCTACTATTCCACCACCAGATTCTACTCCGAGTAATGTACACAACCATTCTTCATCATCATCTCCTCCTCTACCTTCATATCATCGACATCATCAAGAACGAAAGAAAAGCACAAATAGTCCAGCTCCTTCACCACCACCACCACCGCATCGCGTATCTCCAAAGAAGTCACACCGTAAAGCTTTCCACTTTATATTAGCTTTTGAGGTATACTTTAGATTGGCCAGTCATGACGCTTCTCGTGATCTTGAGTCTCTCTCTTTTTCTATGTTTGTTGTTATAGGTCCAGTGACTCCTCCTCCATTATCACACCATGCTCATTCTCCTTCCATTCCTGCTTCTTTGATATCTCCTGCTCACGCTCCAATCTCTTTCTCAATGCACCGCATCTCCATAGCCCCAGCTCCTTCTCCGACCCAAGGTTTGTTTCCTCCACTCATAATTTTTCCAACAACAAATATACAGAATCTCTTTTTACCCTCTCTTTGCTTGATGATGTGAAATTCTAAACTCTTGTTTATTTCTCCTAAAGTTTTTCCTCTCAGGTCCTCTTCAAGACCTTCAAAATCCCGGAAGTTCCCACTCGGTCCACCTCTTCCAGCATTTCCTCCTCCTCCCCCTAATTCAGGTTTCTAGAGATCTTTTTTCAGTTACTTTGGGAATGAAACCGTCTTGTTCCGGTGTGAACCCACTTCTTGTTACTTTGTTCTGCAGATTGTTCATCAACCGTTTGCTTGGAACCCTACACAAACACACCTCCGGGATCACCATGCGGCTGTGTCTGGCCTATTCAGGTTGAGCTTCGTCTTAGCATGGCGCTCTACGACTTCTTCCCTATGGTTTCGGAGTTCGCTCGGGAAATCAGCGCTGGAGTCTTCATGAAACAGAGCCAAGTCCGTATCATGGGAGCTAACGCGGCTAGTGAACAACCCGACAAATCTATCGTTCTTATCGATTTAGTCCCACTCGGAGACAAGTTTGATAACTTGACAGCGATGCTTACTTACCAGAGATTCTGGAGTAAAAAAGTCTATATAGATGCATCCATCTTTGGCGTGTACGACGTGATTAAGGTGAGTTATCCCGGTTTACCTGCTTCTCCGCCAGTTTCCGGTGTGACAATCATAGATCCAGGACCGTACTCCGGTAATAATAACGGTAGGGCGATAAAACCGCTTGGAGTTGATGTTCCAAAGAAGCCGGGCAAGAAAGAGCTCAATGCCGGAAGTATTGCTGTGATTGTTTTGTCGGCGGCTGCTTTTATCGGGTTATGCTTCGTCATCGTTTGGTTCTTGGTTTTCCGGCGACGAAGAGATCGGCGGCTTTCTAAAAGAGCCCCAGTTTCTCGGCCTTCGCTGCCTTCCCTCTCGAAACCATCAGGTAAAAAACAGTTATTTCTGTTACCCAATCCGGTTTTCACTTTGGACTTTTTTGGTTTTCAATAATTTGGTTTGATGCAATATATGTTTTGGTTCAGATGTGGTTCTAAATTACTCCTACTGGTTCTGTTGCAGGTTCTGCGAGGTCTATAACCGGAAGCCGGTTTAGCTCAACTTCATTGTCGTTTGAATCTAGCATTGCTCCGTTTCATCTCTCTGCAAAGACATTCACCGCAAGCGAAATAGCGAAAGCCACAAATAACTTTGCAGAGTCGAGGGTTCTTGGTGAAGGAGGATTCGGACGTGTTTATGAAGGTCTATTCGAGGACGGAACCAAAGTAGCGGTTAAAGTATTGAAGAGAGATGACCAGCAAGGTGGCCGAGAGTTCTTGGCTGAAGTTGAAATGCTTAGCCGTCTTCATCACCGAAACTTGGTGAATCTGATCGGTATCTGTATCGAAGATCGAAACCGTTCCTTGGTTTATGAACTTATTCCAAATGGCAGCGTTGAATCGCACCTCCACGGTATGTTTTTGTTTCAGTAAAGTTTTTGTTTGGTTCAGATTGTCTACTCTTTGAAAAACTAATGTTCTTGTTTTTGTTTCTTGATTAGGGATCGATAAAGAGTCTTCACCTTTAGATTGGGATGCTAGGTTGAAGATAGCTCTTGGTGCAGCCCGTGGATTAGCGTATCTACACGAAGACTCGAGCCCGCGGGTTATACACAGAGACTTCAAGTCCAGCAACATCTTGCTTGAACACGATTTCACGCCTAAAGTCTCTGACTTTGGACTAGCTCGAAACGCCCTCGATGATGAAGATAACAGGCATATATCGACACGCGTGATGGGAACTTTTGGGTAAGACAACGTAACCAGAATCAAAATAAACCGCTTCAAAACCTTTCTGTTGCGACCTTATTAATAATGTTATCGTTTTTTGATAGGTATGTGGCGCCGGAATACGCAATGACGGGGCATCTTTTAGTGAAGAGCGATGTGTATAGCTATGGAGTTGTGCTTCTCGAGCTACTCACGGGGAGGAAACCGGTGGATATGTCTCAGCCACCGGGACAAGAGAACTTGGTTTCGTGGACTCGGGCTCTTCTCACGAGCAGAGAAGGCCTTGAAGCTATTATAGATCAGTCCTTAGGACAGCCCGAGATTCCATTCGATAGCATAGCTAAAGTCGCAGCAATAGCTTCGATGTGCGTGCAACCGGAAGTATCGCACCGTCCTTTCATGGGAGAAGTAGTGCAAGCTTTGAAACTGGTTTGCAACGAATGCGATGAAGCTAAGGAACTTAACTCTGTGACTTCAGTTACTCAAGACGATCTGAGAGATGACAATCGAGCTGAGAGCTCTTGTGGTGGGGACGTCTCGGGGAGGATGGCTCGGTATCCGTTGCTTCCGAATTACGACTCTGAGCCTGACACGGAGAGAGGACTTTCTGCGTCGGAGATGTTCACCGGTTCCGGGAGGTTAGAGAGACAGTCTAGCTCGGGTCCCTTGGCCTCGGGTCGAGGCAAAGGGTTCTGGCAGAAGATGAGGAGATTGTCTACGGGAAGTTTGAGCGAGCACGGGTCATCATCGCACATGTTACGGTCTGGTTCGCATTGAATGGTCTCTTGCCGGTTACAAAACATTGGAGCTTTTTGATTGCCCTTTGCAGTTGAAAAGAGGAAAGGAAAAAAAAGGTGCCTTGTGTTACAAGCAACTCGTTACCTGCTGGAAACCGGTTTCGGGAGATCATTTCCGGTTCAATAGTTAGTTGAAGAGATATTTGTGGATCTTAGAAGAAACAAGAGATTCTGTTTAGAGTCTAATTTGAATGTACATATTCACGTTTTTAAGGCAAAAGGCATAAGCATACCTTGCTTTTCTGTTCCGGTACCGACCGGTTCGACGGTCTTTATTCTGATTTAGACCAACTAAACATGATATAATAAAAGTCTGGTAAAAAATAAAAAAAAGGCCGTACCTTGCTACACAAGTACACTTGCGCAAAGGCTCCACCTTCGTGATGGTTTTACTTTATCCAGTTCCTGTTTATTCATTAGTAATATATGCACCACACTCTCAATATTCTCTCACGTTCCAAGTCGTTTGTTTATAATTTAAACTTGTATATTTTTTTCTTTCATGCAAATAATCCCCCTATTATAATTTATAATTGTACTCAGAAGAATTTAAGCACGAAGGTACTGGTATCTTCATATTCTCAGTATAAAGTGTTAAACTCATATCTTTATTTCTTGAACCCGATCTTTGTAGCACTCTTTGCTACACAACTCTGGAAGAAAAATCCACTTGTAATGCTACATTTAATCAATTTTAAGTATGATACTAAAGACACCATGTAATAACTACATTTGGTTTGACTGTTTCTAGGGTAGAGCTTTAATTTTTAAAGGTTAATTGAATTAGTCTTTTTATATCATTCGTCAAACCATACTTGCCGTCACTAAACTCTCCTCCGATCAGAGGTATAATCGGTTCATGTCTTGTTTTAAATTTAGCTAAAACTAAAAATAGATGATTTCATAAATATATATAAATACTGCTCGTTGATGTCCTTATTACTAAAAAAAAAAACAAAAATCATGATCAAGCTACCCAACAAAAAAAAAGAGAAAAAGAGAATGAATCGTCTCATAGTCTTCGCGTTTGTTCTTTCAACGACTATCGTATTAAACGAAGCATGCGAGAATTATGTAGTAAGAATTGAAAACCGACTGGGTCCTGGTAAGGATGTCAAGTGTCGTTGCCGTGACAGGATGGGCGTGGACAGGGTTGGTAAAGAAGAAATTATAAAAGCCAATACCGATAAAATCATTACTGGGCGTGATGAAATTGACAGAAACCGTGACAGGACAGATTGGGATTGCCTGCTTAGGCACGGGGCAAATCCTGAGTATTTTTTTGACCTCGAAGTATACAAAGCAGCTAACAGTGGTCGTCGATGTGGCCAGTTACGCGTATGGAGATTGAGCCCTGATGCGATTTACACTAAAAGGGAAGAAGCGAAGCCACTGGGATTTGCAGTCAACTGGAAAAAAAAGTAAATCGATTTTTTTATAGTTTCCGCATGCTATGAAAATAAAGCTATAAGAGCTAAGATATCAATTTGATTAAGTTACTACATTTTTGTGCATGCTGTGAATAAAGTTATAAGAGCTAAGATAAAGATATGAATAAAATTCTGTATTCCTACATCTATCCCGTTTCTTTCTTTTTTTCTTCTTCTTCTTATCATTTCTTTGTTTTAAAATATATATGTTTATTTAGTTTGATGTAAGAGAAAACATTTAAAATGTTACTAATCAAATGTTACATTAGAGTTTTTTTTTTTAATTTTTAGTTTGAGTTAAAATGATTTAAGGTTGATGTATAAATTTGATTTATCTTTTTGTTAAAATTGATAAATCAAAATTTAATGCAAAATCAAAGAAAAATGAATGATTTAATCGGTGTTATTATTTTAATTTATAGTTAATATTATTATTATTAATATCAGAAAATTACCAATCTTCTATTTTAACAAAGATATTAACTCAGATTTTACAACAAATTTAACTTATTATTTTTAATTATATAATTATACTGCAACTTACATCAAATTATAACATCAGTAATTATTCAATTTGGATAAATGTTTTGCGTTACTAATCTTTTGTTGTGCTATATAACTGAGAAGAGAGAGAGAGTGGAAGAAACCAGAGTCCGAATCTCTCTCTACACACTGCCCAAACAGATGGCACGTCCCTGTAATAACTCAAATTAATTCAAATGCCTCTTAACGTCTTTTCACATCACTAATTTTGCCTTCTTTTTCTCATTTTTTCTTTGCTATGGGGGAACATTAAAGAATAACCCACCCACTTTGGATTTATGATTTATCAAAGAAAAGTCCAGTTTTTTTTAAAAAAATCACTCACCGACCACCTTCCTAAATTTGGTAACTCCTCATTAACTTTTCCAACCTTTTTCTGGATTTTCTTTTCTTCTTAAAACTATGGGAAAAAAAAGGATCAAATATGAACTATGGAATGGTTAATTATTAGTAGCAGTAACGAAACTATTGAAATGATTTCCTCACGAGTTCTATCGAGAAAACATTCGACACTTGTCTCTTTGCCTTTATTTTTTCTTGGTGAACTAACTAATAGAAAAGACACTCTAATTATATTGTTAAAACGTGCAACATATTTTCAACAATAAAGAGTTTATACTTTTTATACAGACAGCTGATAACTGATTTGATTTAGACATAATTTCATACTGATTCGGACCCACTGACAAACCCCAGTTCACTGTATTCATGGATATTATCGTAAAAATGTTATATTTATAATTTTATATAAGGGTTATATATGTATTTCTGCATATCTGTACTTCTATATATAAATGTGTAAGAAGAAGATCACAACAACAATTACAAAATCGTACGGTTTCCTTTTTTTCTCTCTCTCTCTTGTCGAAGAGTTTGAATAGAGAGAGAAAAATGGAAGGAGCCAGCAAGAAAGAAGACGTAAACGGAGAAGCTACGGCGGCGAAGGACGTGACGACGACGCCAACGATGCTAGTCGCCGGAGAGGACGATCACGACGAGTATACGCCGGATGAGATCATGAAGCTCGTTGAGTCTTCTTCACCGACGACGAAGATCGAGGGAGCTAACTTTTCCGGCGAGTCGAGTTTCAGAGTGAGGTTTATCGACGACCCGTACGCGATTCCGGTGGTTGTTCAGTCGTCTTCCGGTTACATCACGATCAACGTCAACGAGGAGAGCTGTGGTCCGTCGTTTTCAGACAGCAACGCTTCCGCCATGGCTAGCGTCGACGCGAGTGGTCTGTTCGGTTGCTGTTTCGACATCAACGGCGAGAAAGGCGGCGCGTGGAGTACAAGCGAGGTGGGAGCGAGTGAGTGTGAGTGGGACGACGATCTGCTGGCGAGGTTTCTAGGCGAGGACTGTGTTTGACCAATTTGTCATCTTGCGGAGAAAGCTAATGCTTGGGGGTATTTTGGTCATTCTATGGGTGATAATTTGGGAGAAAAGGTTTGATTTTACACGTTGTTAATAGGAGAAAATCAAAAATGGGGAAAAAAATCAGTAAATGGGTAGTAGTAGTAGTAGAGTAATAGCTACGTCGTGGGTTTAATGTGACCATTTTGGTAATTTCGTCACATGGCGGTACTAATGGGTAATGCCTCTAGGTCTAGGGAGCTATTTTGTAAATTTCAAAACTATTTAACCCCCTTAAAAGTAAATGAAAACTATCTCTTGTAATTTGCATGTTATCATCATCTGTCTAATGTACGCTTGAAATCGGCGTAGGGGAATTAAGAAATTGTGGATTTATTTGGACCTAGTTTAAGGCCCAATAACAATCACTTTATTCGGGTTTTTACTGTGGCGGGAAAGTCCAACAAATATCCGAATCTTCAAGTCAATGGAACTCTGACTCGCAGTGGCGAAATCTCTAACATAAAGGCATATAATCTTAGGTTTTGATAGAGTTGATTGGGTTTTGCGAAATTGAAATTTTAGTGTTTATGGAGTAAATGTGTTCTAAGTTCGTCGGTTGAAAGATTTATAGTGAAAAAAGGTTTTATACGAATGTTAGGCATTTTACAATTGCGATTTTATGAAATTTAGTTTAAAGTTACGATTGGAGGATCGAGATGTAAAAAGCAATGTAAATTCAAAACCCTCATTTGTATTATTACTCTGTAAATTTTATTTGGCTATTGATGATATAACCAGTAATATACATGTTGAAAATTGGTTGTAGTAACTGCACAAGTCCATACTATATATATATATATATATTTTTTGCCAGCTCTGTCTCTATCTTCAAAGCAGAGCCAGAGACAAACAATGAAACCGCTTTTGGTTCCTGAAAACTTAAAGCTTTTCATGTTCTTTTTACCAGTGAGATTCCATTAGGATCACCACCCCACTCTTCAAACACAACTACAAGGTTCTGAGACTTGAGCCATGAACGTGGTACATGGTACCTGCAAAAAAAAAGAGAGAGAGTGGGGTGGTACATGGTACTTGAGCCATGAACGTGGTACATGGTACTTCCAGTTTTCAGTCACATTTTAAAATAAATCAACCAAAAGCTCACAACAAAACCGATTCACTACAATAGAAACCCAAGTCTAGTCTCTAGGAATGCTAGTCTCGGTCTGATCATAGACCTTCTAAAATGTCTTTTATTTTCTTTTACAGTTAGCATCAGCAACATATACAATTAGTATATTACAATTAAATAAAACTTAAGTATTTACTGGTTCACAACCAAAACCTTTTTACTTTTATATTTAAACTCAGGATGAGACTTTTGATGAGACTTTTCTAAAGATGGTCGAATCTGCGCAAAGATTGAACACTTTAATGTTGCCTACTGATTAAGATGAACATTTATTAACAAAGTTGGATCTAAAGAAATTTTCAGTTGAGGTTTATGTTTTTCTTAACTTATAATCTAATAGATTAATAGTTGATGTTAATTTTTTTAATGTTAAGCATTTCTATTATATATATATATATAGTTTCGTTTGATGAGTTTTATGTTAGTTTCTTTATTTTGTGGTATACTCCTTGTGGTAATCAATTTTTATCTTTCAATTTTTTTTGGAGAACCAGTAAAAAATAAAGAGATCTAACAACAACACATATTTTAACTTTGTTTCGGTCAAAGATGATTTCTAGAATTTCTCCAGTTCTTTTTATTTTTTTTTTCCGCATGATTCTTCTGCTTTCAATAGTATTACTCTTTTTCACTATATAGATCACACAAGAAGCTTTCCTACAACATCTCTCTAGACCATTTTGGATTGGTTGATATCCAATCTCCTGGAAATAAAAATAAAAATAACTTAGCAAAGAGCAATACATGAGTTGTTCAAAGAACAAAACCTTTCATGTGGCTTACCACGATTGAAACTAGACCTTGGAAGGCCTGCTGGATCGGAAAACTTAAACACAAGTGAGGTATCTATAATTCTTGGCAGGGTCATATTCAATGTTGGGATCCGTCCAGGGTTTAGAAACTACTGAGGAGAAAAATTGGGAACAATTGAACAAACTTTTGTACTTGCCTTTTAGATGCTTGCTCAAAAGATAACCTACAACAATGGTATTATCTACAAAAATAAGATCTCTTATTATTTCCTCTTGAAATTTTTTTACAACATTTTAAATTAGTGGTTTTGTTTTATTTGAATACTTATTATATTTTAAGAAATTTGAAAGATTTTTGTTATTTAATTTTTGAGTGATTTAAGCAAATTTCATAGAATTTTAACTAATTGCATTGGAGGAATTTATAAAAATTTTATGACATTTTTGTATGTATTTATATTTTTGCCAGTGATCGAATATTTTTTTTTTCAAAATATGCAGCTGTGATTCAAGTGATCTCAGTACTGTAGTTAGAAACGGTCTGATCCAGCCTCACATATAGATTAACATGAAAGTTATCTATGTTACCCGCAACGATTCTATTAGGAGCTTCACTCCCATCCTCGCAACAAACCATCTCACACGAGATGACAAGCAATTCAAATTCACCATCGCTGTAGTTCGGTCCAGTCTTCATTGACATTTATTCCTGCATTTCGCAATGAAAATGGTCAAATTCTTTAAAAAATATCAAAATTGATTCAATAAAATAGAAACTCAAGTCGAGTCTCTAGGAAAGCTAGTCTTGGTCTGATCATTGACATCATAAAACATCTTTTTCTTCTTTAACAGTTAGCATCAGCAACATATACAATTGGTAAATTACAATTAAAAAATACTTAAGTATTCACTGATTCACAATAAAAACCTTTTTATTTTTATATTTAAACTCAAGAAACTATCTTGTAGGTAATTTTGCCTAAAAACCAGGAAACTGGTCGTTTGCTAGGGTATGTGTGCAAAATACGAACAATTAGTGAAATTTCTATACTTAATTACTACTTTGGAGTTTACCAATTAGATTTATCTTAATCTAGTTTGTGAATATTAGGTTTGGAGAGTTGTTCACTTGATTCCAAACAATACTAATTTGTTTTTTTTGGTTAAGTTAAAAAAAAATAAACTTTTGTTCCTTTTTAAGAGGTTTCTCCACATTTCATGGTGTGATTTAAGTTGTCTTACTTAGAAATTTTCTTAAAAAAATTGATGTTTTGAGTTGCTCATTGACTCCAATACAAACTTATATGTTCGATGAGATCAGAGAAAAAAGGACACATTTGAAGTCGATTTTCTTCTTGTTGATTAAGCCTTTGTGTTTTGGTTTATGATAAATTTGAATTAAAACGTTTTTGAATTTGTATCTTCTTGAATAACAGAAAAAAATCTTAATAGATATTTAGACTAATTCTCGTAAAAGACACCGGATATTAATATTATCTAAGGTGTCTACAACGGTCAGATTATCATTTAAATCATATAGGGACTCAAATTGTGGTCCTTCAATCACTAGATGCATGTTCACTGTTTCTGTTATATATATAGTTTTGTCTAAACTCTCAAAAATTACATCAACTTAGTTTTGGCTAATGATTTTCCTTCGGTTAGTTTTTTGTTTTGTTGTAAACTCCTTGTGGTAATAAAGTGATTTTTTGTTTTGTTGTAAACTCCTTGTGTAATCAATTTTCCTTCGGTTAGTTTTTTGTTTAGTTATTTGCATGTTATTATCATCTGTCTAGTTTAAGGCCCAATAACGATCATTTTATTCGGGTTTTTACTGTGGCGGGAAAGTCTAACAAATATCCGAATCTTCAAGTCAATGGAACTCTGACTCGCAGTGGCGAAATCTCTAATGTACATAAAGGCATAATCTTAGGTTTAGTCTGTGATTTTGATAGAGTTGATTGGGTTTTGCGAAATTGAAATTTTAGTGTTTATGGAGTAAATGTGTTCTAAGTTCGTCGGTTCGAAGATTTATAGTGAAAAAGGTTTTATACGAAGTTAGGCATTTTACAATTGCGATTTTATGAAATTTAGTTTAAAGTTACGATTGGAGGATGGAGATGTAAGAAGCAATGTAAATTCAAAACCCTCATTTGTATTATTACTCTGTAAATTTTATTTGGCTATTTGATATAACCAGTAATATACATGTTGAATAATTGGTCGTAATAACTGCACAAGTCCATACTATATATATATATATATTTTTTGCCAGCTCTGTCTCTATCTTCAAAGCAGAGCCAGAGACAAACAATGAAACAGCTTTCTGTTTCTAAAAACTTAAGCTTTTCATGTTCTTTTCACCAGTGAGATTCCATTAGGATCACCACCCCACTCTTCAAACACAACTACAAGGTTCTGAGATTTGAGCCATGAACGTGGTACATGGTACCTGCAAAAAAAGAGAGAGAGAGAACTTTATGAATCAAGATTTGGACTAAAGAGACGGAAAGCCAAATAAAGAAGCTGTCTCTCACCATCTTTGAGAAGCTTCGCCGCAATTACTCAGACATTTCTTATCGTTGAAAGTTCCAGCATAGTTGCAACGCCCACAGTTTCCTTGAGCTTTATAAGCAGGCCAATGACGTCCAATGTTTCGACCGTTTATCCAAACTTGACCTTTCCCCATTGTGTTCATGTCCAAAGCCAATGGTTCGTTTCCTGCTGGTGTGGCAAACGTAGACTACACGGTAACAAGAGAGAAAGGTTTTTCAATTTGTTCATCGTACCAAAATCTAATTTTGGCTTTGTGTTTGCTCTTACCTTGTACCAGGTCAATGGTTGCTTCTTGACCACGAATGATCCTTGGTTCCATCTCACAGAGGAACTGCCCGTATGAAGACTCAAACCTTCACCTTTCACACCAATCTGTTCCAATCACATTTTGAAACCCATTGTTATGATCGGTTTGTTGTTACCAGGAAACTCAAAAAATTAAGAGTGAGTTTTGAATTTGAGAAAGGACCTTATTGGACCATTTCCATTTAGACATGTCCCATGTTCCTGAGTTGACTCCCTTCAATGTGACCGGTCCAAGAACCCCTTTATTCCACGTCTCAAATTGTTTGCCGACGTTCTGCAAGCAAACCAAGTACCACAAAGCTCAGAAATCTTATTATTATCTTCTGTGTACAATAAAAGAGATCCCATCAGGATGAACTAACCGGTAGACCCACTACAACACTCAACAGAGCAAGCTTGTTGACACCTGCATGTAGTTTGATCTTCTGGCTAAAGGTTATCTTTGGGTGGCTAAGTCCTCCATAAGCACTCCCTGAAACAGAGATACACCAACAATGTTTTCAAGCTTCAACACTATACGAGACAAGAGAAGCTTCCCACTGTTTCTTTTATGTTACCTGAAAGCTGGCCATTGACAAACACATGAAGAGCATGCCCAGCTGACCAAACCGTAAGAAGAGGGTAATCACCAGTCTTCAGAAAACTCTCACCAGCACCGATTGTAATGCTGAGCAATAAATACCCACAAGCAAACGAACCATGAGTCTGTTTCTCCAGGAGGATTTTAGAGATTGACACAAGTCCAAGAGAGTTTCAAAGCTATACTTACTCTGTCAGATACCAGAAATAGTCAGACTTGTCCCAAGTCATGCTTATCTGTTCCACAAGCCCGTTTCTTGCAAACGTGCCAGCTTCATTTGCAGAAGGAGCCGCTTCGCTGTATGATTCCCAAGAGAATCTGGTACCAGTTGGAACCATGTTCCTGTGTACGCTTGGTGCGTTAACCTGTTTTATTTCAACAACACAGAGGTCAATATTCAGTTTTAAAGATCAAGAATGTAACTAACTTTCACTTTTGACAAGATAAGCTTTGGTTTTTTTTTCTTACCTTTGCTGTGTTGTAAAACTCTGTTTTGCAATCAGGTAGAATACTGACTGACCAAGGAGGCAAATCATATGGGAATCCACGGAACATAACTCTCGCTGCGGAATGCTCATCGTAGTTCGATAGAAACGCAGCACAAGATGACTTGGACCAGAACACATGAGCCTGAAAGCAACATTCAAATGGATCAGTATGTTTCTTTCTCAAACTAGTACAAGTTAAAAAAAAAAAAAAAAAGCTTTAATATTTACTTCTTGTTTAGCTCCAAGAGATGTGACGGTAGCATCAGCGGAAACCAAAGCTGGCTCGCTGAGTTTGATGGCTTTATGCAACGCTTTCAAGTGACTGTACTTTGGTTCTCTTGTTAAGCCTTTTTGAAGTAAACAGAAACAAATTAGTTAATCATTCAGACATGTTCTAATTCTGTTTCTGTGTTTTGATCTGTACCGTATTCATCGAGAGGAGCGTCGTAGTCATAGCTTGAGGCCATGAACTCACCAGCTGTTCTGTCGAAATTCGTCCCTCCATGATACTACAGTATATATAAATAGGTTAGGTAATATTATATATACAAAATTGAGCCGAAATTTCATCTAAAACCGAACCAAAAATCGATGTGCATTCATCATATACAGCTTTTTTTTTTTTTTTTAATTACCATATAGTAATTGACGAAGGAGCCTCCGTTTTGTATGAATCGTGCAACGGAGTATGCAATATCTTCGACTGGTCTGTATGGTACAGCACCTCCAAACTCTGTGTACCTGACATTTTTTAATTTACCGATTTCTCAAACATTGTTTTAAAAGTGAATAACATTGTTTTCTGACAATCTATAATTTGTATATTTTAATTGAAAAATAAATAAATCAATTTTCTAGGCATATTGATGTTGTGACTTACCAGCCAGTCCAGTTCTCTGTCCACATCTTAGGCTTGTTATTTGAGTTTGGTTTGAAACCTTCACAGTAATAACCATTGCATGTATCTATCTATAAATTGCATTAAAAACAAAAGAATCATAAAAACTGGGAAACCGAGAAGAATTCAATAGAAAGAAGAAGATATTTCAGATTTTTTAAACAATACTTTTTTCTACAACAAAAACAAAGTCCTCTTTTTTTTTTGACAATATATTTATAATTAGAAAGAAGGAAAAGGAAAGAACATACAATAGGAGAAGGAGCATCTTCTTGCTTGCACATAATCCATGGAACACCTGTTGAGAGTCCTAATGCCATTTGAGCTACCCATTTTGTGTAAGCCTTTGCTGGTGCACCACTATCCCATTCCACTGGCCCATACTCATTCTCAATCTGTCCATTTTTATTTTTTTTTTGAAATTAAAAGAAACCATTTAATTTGAGCCCTTCATGTCTAATCATT